TGGCCAGCAGGGACACCAGGAGCAGTCCCCGGCACTGCGCCAGGTCCGCGAAGGAGAGCTGTCGGTCCACGCCCAGCGCCTCTCTCAGGTTCCCGTGCGCGGCCTCCAAGCAGCCCTCCAGGACGGCCCTGATGTCCGCGTTGGCGTGGAAGCGGGCGTGGAGCTGCTCGCAGTAGCCGGCCCACTGCAGAGCCCTCTCCACAGCCCGCGCGTCCCACTGAGACACGTACCCGCTCTGCGCCACGGCCAGCAGCTGGGCTGTGCCCTCCAGGTTTTGACAGATGGCCTCCATTCTTAGCGAGCAGCTACACGCGTCCGCTTCGCACCGGGGTCTGTTCTGCATTGCGCTGCGGGGCGCCCTGACCCGAGTTTCGAGACTCAGAAGTTCGCCTTGTTTGAAAAGTCAGCTCACATCACAGACGAGAAACTACCCTCGAAAAGTTCAGTTGCTTTACTGAAAGCTCCCAAAACAAGCTGTGCATTACCTCGTTAGATACGCGATGTACGGTTTATTTAAAATACAACATGTTTTTGTTAAACAAAGGATATTTACTTCAACTTTGTTTCCCTGTACTTCTGTTGTTCTTAGAAGCGTGTTGTTGCTGCTTCAGGTCCGTATGGTCATGTGACAAAGAACTTCCGGGGTCATAAGAGAGGTCAATTGGGCACTGAATAGAGTAGTTGCAAGGTAGCCATCTTGTTTTCAGAAAGAGGCTGCACCAAAAAAAAAACATTTGATAGCCGGTAGACGGGGTTTGTACACGGGAGTACTTATCCCGATCAGGAACAGTGTGTGAAAAGTGGATGCTGAAAAGAAAATCTGAAGAGGCATTATAAATACTTTAGATATTAAATCTAAAAGCAGAAGATTAAATTAAATCGCAAAAAAATGTTTTTGCACATTTAATTGCACAATTAAATAACAAAAAATAAAATACAAAAAAAAACCAGCATGCGAACTTGTGGTTAAGGCAGTACTTCTGTTTACAAAAAAAAAGTCTTGTGACTCAACGGCAACAGCAGCCTCCTTTCTCGGTGCCTTTTCTTAGCGCCAGCAGCCACATCACCCTGCAGCTCACAACTGGCATTGCTCTCATACTCCTTCCTCCTCGCCTGGAGAAACTAAAACAAGGCAGAATAAAACATGGCTCACCATGAGACAGATGCACACAGCCAGCC